TTATGGTTTTCAGGTCTTTTGAACATGAGCTGCCCATTCTTCTTGTTTGGCCCTGCATTGGGCACCTTGACATAAATGCTGAAATTTCCTTCCGCACAATCTGGTGTCATTAGATTGGCTTTACTGCATGCAGGGGGGCAGACCCAATTTTGGTTCAGTTCTAATGAGCTGGGTACATCACCTCTGAGGTATTTCCCCCACCAACCCATAAATTCAGTCCAATCATAAGAAAGCATCAGACAAATCAAAATGAGGGCCATTCTACAAAGGCTCTGACTAGTACTCCTCAAGGCTGTTTTTGTTTTTGTTGTTGTTCAGGTGCTAAGTCGTGTCTGACTCTTTGCAACCCCATGGACGGCAGCAGATCAGGCTCCTCTGTCCTTCACTGTCTCCCGGACTTTGCTCAGATTCACGTCCATTGACTTGGTGATGCCATCCAGCCACCTCATCTTCTGCTGCCCCCTTCTTGTTTTGTCTTCAGTCTTTCCCAGCATCAGGGTTTTTTTTCCAATGAGTTGGCTCATCACATCAGGTGGCCAAAGCACTGGAGTTTCAGCTTCAGCATGAGTCCTTTCAATGAATGTTCAGTGTTAATTTCCTTTAGGATTGACTAGTTTGATCCAGACTATCAAAGTAATGAAAAAAACCCACCAAACTTCACCAAAACCCAAAACCACAGACTGATGATCAGGGGCCTAAGGAGACTTGGTGATTAAACACAATGTGGAATCCTGCAACAGAACAAAGAAAGTGACTGCTGTGTGCACTAGTGTTCACAGCAGTATTATTCACAATAGCCAAAAGGTGAATGAAAGAACCCAAAGTCTCCATCGGCGGATGAATAGATGAACAAAACATGGTAGATCCAGACCATGGAATATTATTCAGCCTTAAAAAGGAAGGGGATTCTGACACATTGTATAACAAGGGTTCAATCCTTGGTGCGGGAGAATCCCACATGCCGTGGGGCAGCTAAGCCCATGTGCCACAACTGCTAAGCCTGCGCTCTGGAGTCTGAGAGCAGCAACAGGAGAAGCCACCTCAGTGAGAAGCCTGCACGCTGCAGCTAAAGAGTAGCCCCCACTTGCCACGACTACAGAAAACCTGCACACAGCAACAAGGACCCAGCACAGGCAAAAATAAAATAAAATTTTAAACAGGAGCCCTGTGCCATTAACAGTCATTCCACATTCCCTCTCCCTCAGCCTCTGCCAACCATGAATTTGTTTTCTGTCTCTGTGGATTTGCCTGTTCTGGACATTTCAAATAAATGGGATCATACAACATGTGGCCTTTTCTATCTGGCTTCTTTAACTCAGCATAATGTTTCTGAGGTTCATCCATGATGTAGCAGAAATCAATGAATCATTCCCTATTTTGACTGGATAATATTCCATTGTATGGATAGACCACAGTTTCTTTATCCATTCACTGATTGATGGCCATTTGTGTTGTTTCTACTTTCTGTCCATTTTGAATAATGCTGCTGTGAGCATTCACATACAAGTTTTTATGTGGATGTAGATTTTCAATTCTCTTCACCTAGGAGTAAAAATTGCTGGGTCATATGGTAACTCTAAGTTTAACTTTTTAAAGACCTGCCAGATTGTTTCCCAAAGTGGCTGCGTAATTTTGCATTTTCATCAGCAGTGTGAGGGCTTCCCCAGTGGGTCAATGATAGAGAATCCACCTGCAATGCAGGAGACACAGATGATGTGGGTTCCGTCCCTGGGTTAGGAAGATTCCCTGGAGGAGGGCATGGCAACCCACTCCAATATTCTTGCCTGGAGAATCCCATGGACAGAAGAGCCTGGTGGGCTATAGTTCGTAGGGTCACAAAGAGTTGGATACAACTGAGTGACTGAGCATGCATGCATGAGCATGCATCAGCAGTGTGAGCTGGTTCCAGTATACCTACATCCTGGTTAACCCTGGTTATTGTGTGCCTTTTTTTAAATTATAGCCATCCTAGTGAGTGTAGTTTTGATTTGCATTTAATTTATCTAATGACTAGTGATGTGGAGCATGTTTTCATGTGCTTATCGGCCATTTGTGTATCTTCTTTGGAAAAACATCTATTCAAATCCTTTAACCATTTTGTTTTGCTTTAATAGACATTTTTAGAGCAGTTTTAAGTTCACAGCAAAACTGAGAGGAGGGTACAGAGACTTCCCTTATATCTCCTGCCCTACTAATGCACCATCTCCCCAGTTACCAACACCCCCCACCAGAGTGGTGCATTTGTTATAATTAATGAATCTACATTGACCCATAATCAGTCTGAGTCCATAGTTTTAAACTAGAATTCACTCTTGGTGTTGTACATTCTGTGGGTTTGGACAAATGTAAAATGATGCAAGTGTAATGATGCATACTCATCATTACAGTATCATACAGAGTAGTTTCACTGCCCTAAAAATCCTCTGTGTTTCGGCTATTCATCCCTCCCTCCCCTTAACCTTCACCCATTTTTCACTTGGGTTATTTGCCTTTTTATTGTGATGGTGGTGATGGTGTAGTCCCGAAGTAGTGTCCAACTCTTGCAACCCCAGGAACTACAGTCTGCCAGGCTCCTCTGTCATGGGATTTCCCAGGCAAGAATACTGGAGTGGGTTGCCATTTCCCTCTCTCTCTCTCTCTCTTTTTTTTTTTTTTTTTGTAGACTTGTAACAGTTCTTTATGTAGCTTGGAGACCAGTCCCTTGCCAGTTATGTGATTTGCAAATGTTGTCTCTGTTTTTTGGGCACGTGCAGGTTATCGTGTACACATAGGTTTTCATGTCCTCTGGGCAAATGCCCAGGAGTGGGATTGCTAAGTCATGTGTAAGTGTCTGTTTAACTTTGTAAAAAAACTGCCAACTCGTTTTCGAGAGTGGCTGTACCATTTTGCATCACCATGAGCAATGTATAAGTGTTCCAATTGCTCTATATCCTTGTCAATACTTGGTATTGTCATTGTTTTTTTCCAAAAAATCATCCTCAAGAGTTCTTTAAAGCTTGATCATAGTCATATTTTATAAGATGGCTCCACATATTTGGAAGCTGAGGCAGGGGCCAGAGAAGCCTGGTGGAGGAACTGTGATGGTTGATGCCATGGAGAGCAGGGATGAGGGAAGGGGAAGACTCAAGGGTGGTTCAGGGGGCCTGGGGTGTGGGGCTGGAAGTGGATAGTCAGGAGAGGAAAGTGGAAGGAAGCTAGACTCAGAGTGAGAAGGGCAGGGAGTACCAGGCGGGGAATGTCCGACTCCCAAACTTTCTGCCCAAGAGGATTCTGGGTCTTGATAACATTGGCAGCTGCTACATTGTACAGTAAGTCCTCTCATGTGAACCTTCAAGTTGCAAACTCAGAGATGTGAACGCGCGTCTGGCTCCAGCAAGGAATCAGGATCCGTGCCGTCAGTGTCAGACGGGAGTGAAATCGCAGTTTGCCCTCCATCTCCTATTGCTAATGGTCCTTCAGCTTCACCACATCTCACCTCCTCTCCCTTCTCCAGTCGGTCACTCCTCTTGACTGTTGATCTGATGCCAGCCTCTGTATGCCGGTTGTTGTACTGTACTACTGTACTTTTCAAGGTACTGTACTGTAGGATTTTAAGTGTTTTATTTTGTGTGCTTGCTTTTTAGGTACTATTTGTGTGACAAATATTATTACTGCATAAACAGTACAAAAAGCCAACTGTGTTTGTTGAGTACTTAGACTAACTTTGTTGGACTTAACAAATTGGACTTAAGAACCTGCTCTTGGAATGAAATTCATTCAATATGTAGGGGAAATTACTGAATTTACCCCTTGAGGATATATGGTGCACATCAACATATTAAAGGGTCTGACAAGTCCTGCAATAAAGAACTATGGTGTTAATTTAACCCAAACTTAGACATTAGATTGCTTTTCTCAAGCCATAACATCATTCTCATCATCATCTCCAATGCACAACTCATCTAGCTTGTTCACTATCATGTGTCTAGAATTGGCTTATATCCAATGGTCAAAAAATTTTTTTTTGGTTGGGGAACTTGAGTGAATGATCTCATTAGATCTTCAGAACAACTCTATGTTGTTGTTGTTGTTGTTGTTTTGTTACTAAGACGTGTCCGACTCTTTGAGACCCCATGGATCGTAGCCCACCAGACTCCTCTGTCCATGGGATTTCCCAGACAAGAATACTGGATTGGGTTGCCATTTCCTTCTCCAGGGGAACTTCCCGACCCAGGGATTGAAACCAAGTCTCCCGCTTTGGCAGGCAGATTCTTTACTACTCTATGAAGTAGGTACTAATGTAATTTCCATCTTACAAACAAGCCTCAGAGAGGCCAGGTGACTTGCCTAAGGCCACACAGTTAGTGGGTAAAGAGATGAAATTTGACCTGAAGTGTGCTGGCATCCTCTCCACCACCCTGCCCATCTCTCAAAGATGCCCCACACCCCCAGTCTCACTGGTGATGGCAAGTGTGGTCTCCCCACTGAGGGCTGCCCTGTGACCTCCCCGAGCCCTTCTCCTTGCCCTGATGTCTGTGGACATACACTCAGGCCGTTGCCCAGAGAGCTTGGCTGTAACTTGAGTCTCACCCAGCCTGGGGGTGATGAGGAGGGTGGGCAGGTGACAGCCAGGGCAGGGAGATTTGCCCAGACGCTGGTGAGCAGCAGCCTGGCAACCAGTGTGGCCCCAAGTAGATTGGGGGGCTTTGGGAGCCTGTTCCGGAGTCCAGGCAGAGGTCTCCACTATGGGTAACAAGCAAGCAGTCTTCACTCATGAGCAGCTGGAAGCTTATCAGGTAGGGGTGATGGACCAAGCCATCGGTGGGCTTGGCAGCCTTGTTGTTTTCTTGGCTGAAGAAATGGGGACAGAATCTCTTCATACTGCGGGGAGGGGGCGCAGTCAGCAAGTGGTCCTGGGGTGCCTCTGTGTGTGGATTCAGGCAGCAATGGGTAGTGGGAGAGGAAGGAGGCACCCCCCGCATCAGTCAGGGTCTGGTTTAAGCCAATATCTCTCTCCACAGGACTGCACCTTCTTCACGAGAAAGGAAATCATGAGGTCAGTCTGAGGAGGAAGGGAAGAAGAGCTGGGTACTTTCTATATGCTTTGCAATTTGACTGCACTCAATGCTTAATGGGGGAATCGCGTGCTCAGGTGGTGGATGGATGCAGAGATGGGAAGGTTGTTGAGAAGTCCCATCTGGTCTTATTGTCACACCTCTAGGCTGAGAGCTTTGGCTTTCTCCCAGAGGTGGCAGGAAGCCATAGAGAGTGTGTGAGCAGGGGTGATGCGGATCAGCATGTTAAAAACTCCCCCCTGAGGCCCAGTGAGAACAGGCTGTGATGCCAGGGGCAGAGTCTAGAGCCAGCTCTGGGCGGTGGGGTTGGCATCAAGGTTAGAGGGTGGAGAGGTGGTCCCAGGCTGCTGCAGGTTCCTGGTGTGAGTGAGATGGGCATGGAGGGGTATCCTACAGCATCACTTAGCCCATGGAGCCATTATCCAGAGGCCAGACCCATGGACTTCGACCTGTGAAACCCAAGCTGGCTGGAGTTTGACTGCAGAGTGATCAGGGCCAAGGTCCCAATTGTGTGGGTGCAGGACATCCATTATTGATGGGCATAACTTCCACCAGTAAGCCCCATTGTCTGGGCGAGGACAGTTCACAGGGTCACCCTGACCATCATAATTGGATTACTGATGGGGAAACTGAGGCTCACACAGGGGAGGCTGACCTCAGACCCCTGGGTAGATGGGTAGAGCCCCAAAGAGTTTGAAGCTAACATTTTGTGTGTCTCAAGCTTCTTGCTTCTCACACAGACCTACTGAGCAGAAAGGGGGAAAAGGGGAAGAGGGACTTACTCAGGCCATACAGAAACCCAAACCCAGGCTATTCTCTGAAGGCACCCAGCAGTGAAGTTCCCGATACCCCCTCTTCCAATTCCTAGCCATCATATGACCCAGAGGCTTCTATCCCCTTCTGAGACGTCCCTAACAACTTCAGGATCTCTGGCTCATCAAGGATGGTCTGTACAAGGTGACTGCTCAGCATGTTCCAGGGGCAGTATGGTATCACCAGGCAAGGGCATTGCAGTAGACACCTGACCCCACCATCTAGGCAGTATTTTGGTATTTTTGCAAAATGCGTTTCATTTACTCTTTTGAAAAACCTGAATATTAGACTTTGTCTCTGGCCCCTTGAGGGAACTGCAACCCCCATTATGGAGGGAGAGAAGGAAAGTGTGAGGATGAGGGTTTTAGAGCAGGGTCTTGCTGACAGTGTGATGATGTCCAGCAAATCATAGATTCGCTCAGAGTCTCTGAACGCTCAATGTGAGATGACCTTGCCTTAAGCACGCTCTTTTTTGTCAAGCCCATCTGCTGGTGAGCTCTTATTTGTGCTTCAAAGCCCAGCACCTAGCGTCCATGCCCCCTCCTCCAGGAAGTCCTTTCTTCTCCTTGGCTTACTTTTCCCACTCTAGTTTCCCCTAGCTTTGGGGTCTTCTCTTTTTTTACATTTTAAAAACAATGAATTCGTTCATTTTCTGGCTGCTCTGGGTCTTGGTTGCTGTGGGGGTTTCTCCAGTTCTGGTGAGCAGGGGCTACTATCTAGCTGTGATATGTGGGCTTCTCATTGCAGTGGCTCCTCTTGGGAGCGTAGCCTTCAGTGGTTGTGGTGTTTGAGCTCAGTAGTTGCCTCATGGCGTGTCGGATCTTCCCAGACCAGGGACCAAACCTGTGTCCCCTGCATTGGCAGGTGGTTTTGTAATCACTGGACCTCCAGGGAAGTCCTTGGGGTCCTGTTTTTACCTTGGCCTTGTCCCTTGGGAGACAAAGGTGTCTGTATCTGCCTCTGTGTGTGAGGGCTGGGCCCAGGGTTGATGGCTCTTGGAGGCTCGGCATCCTTCCGTGGAGAGTGAGCATCTGTGGGAGTGAGCGAGCAGAGAGAAGCCCACCCTCCCTCACCCCCCAGACCTTCTCATTGTTTCCCTCCCCACACCAGGCTCTTCTATCGCTACCAGGACCTGGCCCCTCAGCTTGTCCCTCTCGACTATACCAGCTGCCCTGATGTGAAGGTGCCCTATGAGCTCATTGGCAGCATGCCTGAGCTGAAGGTATGCCCGGGGCCCTGGGGCAGGCATGGGAAAAAATAGAAGGGGTGTCCCTTGCTGTATTCCTATGAGGTGACTATTGCAATTATTTTGATTTTACAGGTGAAGAAATTGAATTTCAGAGAGGTTGAGATACTTGTTTATGGTCACACAGCTAGGACATGAGAGAGACACAATTCAAACTCTGGGCTGTGGGAAAGATGAGATGACATAATGCAGATAAAGGGCTTAGCACAGGGCCTGTGACTCAGGAACATTGTGCTGAGTACGTGCTAAGTCTCTTCAGTCATGTCCAACTCTTTGCAACCCTATGGACTGTAAGCCCTCCAGGCCTCTCTGTACTTGGGGATTTTCCAGGCAGGAATACTAGAAGTGGGTTGCTGTGTCCTCCTCCAGGGGATCTTCCCACCCCAGGGATCGAACCTGTGTCTCTTATGTCTCCAGCATTGGCAGGCAAGTTCTTTACCACTAGTGCCACCTGGGAAGCCCACTCAGGAACATTAGTTCTTCTTTTTCATAGTAGAAGCCATTAAAGGCAGGTTCTTCTCAGCAGGATGTTTGACACTAGTTTGTAACTCTGGAGGGGACTTGTGGGATAAGTGACAGAGAATAGAGGTCATTTTATCACAAGGACAGAAACCTCATTCAAGAGGGACATAAAGCGTCATACTTCAGAATCTCCCTCCATAATTCAGCTTCTCCCAGGAAGAGGCTTCAGCCTGTTCTCTTGAGGTAGTGAAGGGAAACACCAGCTGCCCCAGATTTCCTCCCATCAGCTCTGCAACAAGCAGAAATGAGGTTCCTCCACCCCAACTGTTCAGAAACTCTCCCAAGGCAGTTTCTGATTGGCCATCTGGAGTCACATGATCATCCTAGAGGCGATCACCATTGCCCGGTGAATGGAGGTCCCTGATTGGCCTCACTGAAGTCATGTGACTGCCTCTGAAGCCAGAATGGGGGTTAACAGGCACCCAGGCCATAGAGGAGGAGACTGCAGTTGCCTGGAATCTTCTCCAGGGATCATAGGAGGAAGGGAGTCTTGGTGAAGGGTATTCAGAGGATCCCAGGAAGGTGGGGGCTGACAGTGAAATGACACGGAGCCCCAGAGAACCGGGTAAGGGATGGATTTCCTGTCTCTAGGACAACCCCTTCCGTCAGAGGATCGCCCAGGTCTTCTCCGAGGATGGGGATGGCCACATGACCTTGGACAACTTCCTGGACATGTTTTCTGTGATGAGTGAAATGGCTCCCCGTGACCTCAAAGCCTACTACGCTTTTAAAATTTATGGTGTGTGCACAGACCCCAGGGTGGGGAAGTGGGAACAAACCCAGGTCTCGGGTCAGGGACTGCACGGCCATCACATATGTCTCACCAAGGGCTCTGAGGCCCTGCCTGGCCCTGTCCTTCACCCCACCTCGGTACCTCCCCCTCCACCCTATCCCTTTGCTAATTCCATCCAGCTACACTGGCCTGGCTGTTTCCCCAACAGGTCAAACCCTTTCTGCCTCTGGGCCTTTGCCTCTGCTGTGCCTTTTGTCTAGAATATCTTTCCCCTAGTTCCTCCTTACCTTGATATCTTGGTCTAAAGTAGTCCCTGCCTCCTAGTCACTCTCCATGCCACATTCTATTTCTCGCCTAGCATGGAGCCAGTGCTGCTTAACTTCTTGTTCATTCGTCTCTTCATTTCTTATTGATTTTCTCTCTGAAGAGAGCCCAGGACAGTGACAGTGTTTGGTTTGCCATTTGTCTCTGTGACTGGCATGTAGTAGGTATTCAGTGAATACTTATTGAATGAATGAATGAAAACTTATCACAGTGCCTGGCACAAAGTAGGCACTTAAATAAATACTTATTGAAAGAGGGAATGAATGAAAAACAATTATCACTCGCCTGACACATAGTAGTGTTAGTCTCTCAGTTGTGTCCAACTCTTTGCAACCCCATGGACTGCAGCTTGCCAGACTCCTCTGTCCATGGGACGCTCCATGCAAGAATACTGGAGTGGGAAGCCATTCTTTCCAGGAGATCTACCCCATCCAGGGATCGAACCTGAGTCTCCTGCATTGCAGGCAGATTCTTTACCATCTAGGCCCCCAGAGATTGACACATAGTAAGTGCTCAGTAAATACTTGAGTGAATGAATGACCTCCCAGCGGTTACCTACCCAATTCCAAAGCAAGATCTGGCTATTAGCCCAGGGTCTTGGGTTCCCTCCCATGCCTCAGTTTCTTCCTCTGTCACATGGGGACAAGATGTGTTCACCGCTGGCCCAGCCTGCCTGGTCCCTGTTGTCCCGTCACCCCCATGTCCCCACCTGTCCTGCTGTGCAGACTTTAACAATGATGACTACATCTGTGCGTGGGACCTGGAGCAGACGGTGACTAAGCTGACTCGGGGGGAGCTGAGCGCTGAGGAGGTGAGCCTGATATGTGAGAAGGTGCTGGATGAAGCCGATGGGGACCACGATGGGCGACTGTCCCTGGAAGACTTCCAGAACATGATCCTTCGGGCACCAGACTTCCTCAGGTGATATTCCTCGCCACCTTGCACAACCCATTCCCATGTACGAGAGGCGTGCTCACGGATTAGATTCACAGACTCTGTGAAATTTCCTCCATTTTTTCATTTGTGACCTTGGGGAACTTTCCCGACCTCCCTGGCCTCAGTCTGTGTCTTTTGAATGGGGCTAACTAGAGACCCTGGGGACACCTCTTGTGGGTGGACACAGCTCTTTGGGTGAGTAGAATATGGTTGGGACTTCAACCCTCACTTGCCTGAACATTTTGCAGTGAACAGACTGAACAGCTGTACTTGGCAACCCTAGGGAGAATCAGCGCTCTAGGGAGGATTGTTGTTCAGTCGCTCAATCGTGTCCGACTCTTTTACAACCATGGACTGTAGCCTGCCAGTCCAAAGGATTTTCCTGGCAAGAATGCTGGAATGGGTTGCCATTTCCTTCTCCAGGGGATCCAGCATAGATTAAATGAGTTAATACAGGGGGTGGGTGGCCCACCATCTTTTTTTTCTTTTTTTTTACCATCTGTTTTTATATCTCCCATGAGCTTGGAATGGTTTTTACATTTTTAAATGGTTGGGGGGAAAATAATCATACTCCACAACACATGAAAGTGATATAAAACTCAGATTTCCATGTCCATTGCTGGTTTTATTGGGATACAGCCATGCCTATTTGTGTTCAGTGTCCACAGCTTCTTTTGAGCTTTAAGGCAACATTGAGTCATTGTGCAAAGTTGTAAATATCAATCATTTGGCCCTTGGCAGAAGAAAGTTAACTGACCTTGAGCTAGTACATGGAAAGAATTTAGAGCAGTTCCTTGCACACAGTAGGTGCTCAATAACTGTGCACTATTGTTAGTGTTGTGGCTTTTATGCCCAGAGGACCTCCTTCCTCTACCCCGGATAAGCAAGGCTGGTCTCCTGACCACTGAGACGTGAAAAGTGACACCATGATGAGTCTCTTGGCACTGAGTACCTAATGTGCGTACTGCTCTGTATATTTGCCTCTTTTTAGCCCTCATTACTGTCTGAGCCACCAAGCTTCCGTAGTGCCTTAGACGTTAAAGAATCAGCCTGCAATGCAGGAGACCTGGGTTTGATCCTTGGGTGGGGAAGATGCCCTGGAGAAAGATTCTTGCCTGGAGAATCCCATGGCCAGGGGAGCTTGGGCGGCTACAACCCATGGGGTCGCCAAGAGTCGGACATGACTGAGTGACAGTTTCCATTCTTTCAGCCCTCCTTACAGTTCAGTTAAGGAGGGATAGCTGTTACCCCAATTTTGTTGTTCAGTCTCTCAGTTGTGTCTGACTCTCTGCGACCCCATGGACTGCAGCACACCAGGCTTTCCCTGTAATTCACCATCTCCTGGAGCTTGCCCAAACTCGTATTCATCGAGACCGTGATGCCATCCAACCATCTCATCCTCTGTTGTCCCCTTCTCCTCCTGCCTTCAGTCTTTCCCAGCATCAGGGTCTTTGTCAATGAATCAGCTCTTCGCATCAGGTGGCCAAAGTACTGGTGCTTCAGCTTCAGCATCAGTCCTTCCAATGAATATTCAGGACTGATCTCTTTTAGGATGGACTCCTTTGATCTCCATGGTATCCAAGGGATTCTTCAAGAGTCTTCTCCAACACCACAGTTCAAAAGCATCAATTCTTCAGGGCTCAGCCTTCTTTATGGTCCAGCTGTCCCATCCTAGACTACTAGAAAAACCATAGCTTTGACTATACGGACCTTTGTCGGCAAAGTAATGTCTCTGCTTTTTAATATGCTATCTAGGTTGAAAAGGATATCTTTTTTTTGGTGTTAGTTCTAGAAGATCTTGTATGTCTTCATAGAAATGTTCAACTTTAGCTTCTTCAGCATTAGTGGTTGGGGCATAGGCTTGGATTACTGTGCTATTGAATGGTTTGCCTTGGAAACAAACAGATCATTCTGTCATTTTTGAGACTGCACCCAAGTACTGCATTCTGGACTCTTTTGTTGACCATGAGGACTACTTCATTTTTTTCTAAGGGATTACTGACCACAGTGATAGATATAATGGTCATCTGAATTAAATTCTCCCATTCCCGTCCATTTTAGTTCACTGATTTCTAAAATGTCAGTGTTCACTCTTGCCATCTCCTGTTTGACCACTTCCAATTTATTTTGATTAATGGCCTTCCCTGGTGTCTCAGAGATGGTAAGGAATCCACCTGCAATGCAGGAGACCTGGGTTTGATCCCTGAGTTGGGAAGATCTCCTGGAGGAGGGATGACAACCCACTCCAGTATTGCCTGGAGAATCCCCATGGACAGAGAAGCCTGGTGGGCTACAGTCCACATGGTCGCAAAGAATCGGCCACGACTGAGCGACTAAGCACAGCACAGCACAGCCCACACGGATCTAACATTCCCTGTTCCTTTCCGATATTGGTCGTTACAGCATCGGACTTTACTTTCACCTCTAGACTGGGCATTGTTGCCGCTTTGGCTCAGCTTCTTCATTCCTTCTGAAGCTATTTCTCCACTCTTCTCCAGAAGCATAACGGGCACCTACCAACCTGGGGAGTTCATCTTTCAGTGTCATATCTTTTTGCCTTTTCATACTGTTCGTGGGGTTCTCAAGGCAAGAATGCTGAAGTGGTTTGCCATTCCCTTGTTCAATGCACCACATTTTGTCAGAACTCTCCACCATGACCCATCTATCTTGGGTGGCCCTACACAGCATGGCTCGTAATTTCACAGAGTTGGACAAGGCTGTGATCCATGTGATCAGTTTGGTTAGTTTTCTGTAATTGTGGTTTTCATTCTGTCTGCCCTCTGATGGATGAGGATGAGGTTTGTGTAAACTTCCTGGTGGGAGGGACTGGCTGTGGGGAAAACTAGGTCTTGCTCTGGTGGGCGGGGCCACACTCAGTTCAGTTCAGTCGCTCAGTCGTGTCTGCCTCTTTGCGACCCCATGAATCCCAGCGTGTCAGGCCTCTCTGTCCATCACAAACTCCCGGAGTTTACTCAAAC